TTTATTCCCACTGCTGTAGCTGATTACCTGCAGCTGAGCAGTGGGTTGGAGACAGTCCAAACCCTGGTCTGGACCTAGTCTCCCAGGAACAAAACCATAAACAGCAGAGTGGAGCACTGGCCCACCCTGCTCTCCAAATGCTCCACCTCAGGGGCCCATAACTAAATATTAATTTAAGTTATATACACACACTCCCCCTGGGGTTAAAAATCATATGCCTCTCTGAACAATTCAGTCAAAATATAAACTCCCTCACAGACCACCCCATTCACCTTATCACATATCCCCCGCCCCAGCTCAGACCCATCGAGGCGAGCGGCCTGGGACCATAGACAGTGAACTCGGGAGAGGCCATCTGCATTACCTTGGGCAGTTCTGGCCCTGTGAGCAATAGAAAACTGGTAAGGCTGAAGACTTAGGAACCATCTAAGTGATTTTTTTCTTTGTTTTGCCTCATTCACGTTAAAGGAGCATGGTCTGTGATCAGTGTAAAACGTCTCCCCAGTAAGTAATATCTCTTCTGGGATTCTGGGATGGGATTCTAATGCCCATTTTATGGCCAGGCATTCCTTTTCCACTACGGAGTACCTCTGTTCATGGGGATTCATTTTCCGGCTTAGATACATGACAGGATGTTCCTCTCCGTCATGTACCTGGGAAAGAACCGCGCCAAGGCCCACATCAGACGCATCGGTCTGTACCACAATTGGTTTAGTGAAATCCGGAGCCACTAAAACAGGGTCAGCACACAAGGCTCCTTTCAAGACTTAAAAGGCATGCTCCGCTTCCGGGTTCCACTTAACCATAGCCGGGCCTTTTGCCTTAGTAAGTTCAATCAATGGGTTGGCAATGGTAGCGTACCCAGGGATGAACCTGCGATAGTAGCCGGTTAAGCTTAAAAAAAGCCCTGACTTGCTTTTTAGTTACATGACGTGGCCAACTGGTGATGGCCGCTACCTTGCTCTCTTGTGGTTTAAGGAGCCCCCGCCCGATAATGTAACCTAGATATTTTGCTTCTTCTAGCCCTAAAGAACACTTAGCAGGGTTAGCTGACAAACCGGCAGCCCTTATGCTATCCACAACTGCCTGAACCTACATCAAGTGGGTTTCCCAGTCCGCGCTGTGAATCACCACATCATCCAGGTAGGCGAATGCATACTCCCAGTGGGGGTGAAGTATCTTATCCATCATACGCTGAAACATGGCTGGGGCACCATGCAACCCAAATGGCAGTACTTTATATTGGAACAACCCATCAGGGGTAAAAAACGCGGTTTTCTCTTTTGCTTTCTCTGTCCGGAGTACCTGCCAGTATCCCTTGGTGAGGTCCAAGGTGCTCAGATATCTGGCCTTACCTAGTCGCTCTATTAGCTCATCCACACGAGGCATTGGGTAGGCATCAAACTTAGAGATATCATTTAGCTTACGGAAATCATTACAGAAACGTATTTCCCCATTTGGTTTGGACACTAACACAATTGGGTTGTTCCACTCACTTTGTGACACTTCAATCACCCCCAACTCAAGCATCTTTTTAACCTCTGCACTAACTGCTTCACTTCTAGCCTCAGGTATCCTGTAGGGCTTCAGATTGATCTTCTTCCCAGGTTCAGTTAGGATATCATGCTTGATTATTTGTGGAAAACACATCCCTATTTTTAGACACAATCTCCCTGACTTCCTGTTTCTGATGGGGGGCAAGAGTATCAGCGATATGCACCTCAGGACCCTGCTCACAAGTGGCTTGAGTAGGTTTATCTTTGGCCATGATGAGAACCTCTCGTTCTACCCATGGCTTCAATACATTTATATGATAGGTCTGTTCTGGCTTCCGTCTGCCTGGCTGTCTTACTTTATAGTTCACGTCACTGACCCGCTCAGTGATTTTTAATTGGCCCTTGCCAACTGGCTAAGAATTTGCTTTCTACTGTGGGAATGAGAACTAGAACTCCATCACCTTGTTTGAATACCCGTAGCCTTGCGTTCTGGTTATAACTTGCTTGTTGGGCTCTCTGGGCCTTTTCCATGTTTTCCCTAACTAGGGGAATTATTGCTTCGATTCGCTCTTGCATTTGAGCTACATGCTCTATAAGACTAAGATGGGGGGTATGTTCTTGTTCCCATGTTTCCTTGGCAACATCCAGTATGCCTCTTGGATGCCTACCATACATTAATTTGAAAGGTGAAAACCCTGTGGAAGCTTGCGGGACTTCTCTAATAGAAAACATCAGGTAGGGTATGAGATAATCCCATTTTTTTCCGTCCTTGTCTATCATCTTCCGCAGCATAGCCTTTAGAGTTTTATTAAACCTCTCCACCAATCCATCAGTTTGCGGATGGTATACTGACGTTTTCAGTGGCTTGATTCTAAGCAATTTGCACAAATCATGCATGATTTTATGATTTTTGAAATAAAAGGGGTTCCCTGATCTGTGAGAATTTCCTTTGGTATACCCATTCTGCTAAACATCATCAGTAATTCCGTTGCAACACTTTTAGAGGTGGCATTCCGTAGAGGTATTGCCTCTGGATACCGTGTTGCATAATCAACAACAACTTAAATGTACTGATGTCCTTTAGCGGACCTAGGCAACGGCCCTATCAGGTCCATTGCTATCCTTTCGAATGGAACCTCTATGATTGGAAGGGGTACCAACGGACTACAAAAGCCCTTATGCAGAACTTTCAGTTGGCATTCTGGGCAGGATTTACAAAACCTCTCTATTGCCCAAAATACCCCTGGCCAATAGAATCGGGTCAGAATTCGTTCCCTCGTTTTTTCAAAACCAAGATGGGCTAGCTTTAAAACAGTGTTTCGGTAAGATTAACTGTTCTACCTCCTCCCTTTCTTCTCTACTCGATACAGCAGATTATTTTTCACCATGAAATAAGGAAAGCTTAAGGGCTTGTCAGGGTCCACCCTTGTACATTCTCTTTTGCTGCTGTCAAGGACATATCTTCCCATTGGGCTGCTCGAAAGTTACCAGGGGGGACTCTGAGATCCTGAAACTCCACTTCTTCTATAGGGTCTTTAGTATGGGGAGGTTCTACCTCACTACCCAGGCACACCAAGGGTGTCTCTTGCTCGGTACCCAATTCACATTCTATATCAGAGAAAGGAAAAATATTATCTATACACTCCACCCTCCTCAGAGCGCATTTTCGGATGAGCAGAGCACTTTTCCCCATAGGTGGCAGAAATGGGGAAAGTCCCTCCCTAATACCACATCATATGGTAACAGGGGCACTACCCCTACAGAGCATTTAACCTGTCACCATGTACAGGGAGTGCAGAATTATTAGGCAAATGAGTATTTTGACCACATCATCCTCTTTATGCATGTTGTCTTACTCCAAGCTGTATAGGCTCGAAAGCCTACTACCAATTAAGCATATTAGGTGATGTGCATCTCTGTAATGAGAAGGGGTGTGGTCTAATGACATCAACACCCTATATCAGGTGTGCATAATTATTAGGCAACTTCCTTTCCTTTGGCAAAATGGGTCAAAAGAAGGACTTGACAGGCTCAGAAAAGTCAAAAATAGTGAGATATCTTGCAGAGGGATGCAGCACTCTTAAAATTGCAAAGCTTCTGAAGCGTGATCATCGAACAATCAAGCGTTTCATTCAAAATAGTCAACAGGGTCCCAAGAAGCGTGTGGAAAAACCAAGGCGCAAAATAACTGCCCATGAACTGAGAAAAGTCAAGCGTGCAGCTGCCACGATGCCACTTGCCACCAGTTTGGCCATATTTCAGAGCTGCAACATCACTGGAGTGCCCAAAAGCACAAGGTGTGCAATACTCAGAGACATGGCCAAGGTAAGAAAGGCTGAAAGACGACCACCACTGAACAAGACACACAAGCTGAAACGTCAAGACTGGGCCAAGAAATATCTCAAGACTGATTTTTCTAAGGTTTTATGGACTGATGAAATGAGAGTGAGTCTTGATGGGCCAGATGGATGGGCCCGTGGCTGGATTGGTAAAGGGCAGAGAGCTCCAGTCCGACTCAGACGCCAGCAAGGTGGAGGTGGAGTACTGGTTTGGGCTGGTATCATCAAAGATGAGCTTGTGGGGCCTTTTCGGGTTGAGGATGGAGTCAAGCTCAACTCCCAGTCCTACTGCCAGTTCCTGGAAGACACCTTCTTCAAGCAGTGGTACAGGAAGAAGTCTGCATCCTTCAAGAAAAACATGATTTTCATGCAGGACAATGCTCCATCACACGCGTCCAAGTACTCCACAGCGTGGCTGGCAAGAAAGGGTATAAAAGAAGAAAATCTAATGACATGGCCTCCTTGTTCACCTGATCTGAACCCCATTGAGAACCTGTGGTCCATCATCAAATGTGAGATTTACAAGGAGGGAAAACAGTACACCTCTCTGAACAGTGTCTGGGAGGCTGTGGTTGCTGCTGCACGCAATGTTGATGGTGAACAGATCAAAACACTGACAGAATCCATGGATGGCAGGCTTTTGAGTGTCCTTGCAAAGAAAGGTGGCTATATTGGTCACTGATTTGTTTTTGTTTTGGAATGTCAGAAATGTATATTTGTGAATGTTGAGATGTTATATTGGTTTCACTGGTAATAATAAATAATTGAAATGGGTATATATTTGTTTTTTGTTAAGTTGCCTAATAATTATGCACAGTAATAGTCACCTGCACACACAGATATCCCCCTAACATAGCTATAACTAAAAACAAACTAAAAACTACTTCCAAAAATATTCAGCTTTGATATTAATGAGTTTTTTGGGTTCATTGAGAACATGGTTGTTGTTCAATAATAAAATTAATCCTCAAAAATACAACTTGCCTAATAATTCTGCACTCCCTGTATACACACAATATCAATCACTTGTCTGGTATCTAATTTCCCTGGCTGGTGCAGAACACTTTTTATCAAGGTAACCTCACTCCCTGAATCAAGCAGAGCTTGTACATTCTTTCCTTCCACCCTCACCATTATTAAATGCATTGCATTAACAGCACTAGTCACCAGTGGCGGCTCTAGACTTGGCGAGGCCTTAGGCGAAACTCATACATGAGGCCCCCACTAACACCATTATTGGAAAAAAACAGCAGTTGACTTGTGTGTGTATAAGAAGCTGTAGATAGATTGAAGGGCGGGCTTGCAGTATTGGATATAGAGAACTAGTCTTTGTATACGTCGTTGCATTGTCTACCTGTGTGTGCCTGGCAGTGAGTATCTTTGTATATGTATGCATGTTTCTCTGAGCATGTGTATGTTTGTGTTACTGCCTGTGGCCTTTGGCATTAAAGGACCACTATAGTGCCAGGAAAACATACTCGTTTTCCTGGCACTATAGTGCCCTGAGGGTGCCCCCACCCTCAGGGACCCCCTCCCGCCCGGCTCTGGAAAGGGGTAAAGGGGTTAACTTACCTTTTTCCAGCGCTGGGCGGAGAGCTCTCCTCCTCCT